GTCTGGGGCTTTAATAGAAAAAAACTAAGGTCTCTGGATTTGTTTGTTTGTTTGATCTTACTTTATTTACGTTGTGTGTGTGTTTGGTTGTCTGAATAATCCAATCAGCTAACTAACTGACGGGCTGTCGGTCTGTTTAGCTTCCTTTGTCTGTCTGCTTGTGTCTGTTTGTTTACATGTCTTACTGTCTTTCTGTTCGTGTGTCTGTCTGCCGGTAGGATAGCCGTGTGACCCCGCTTGACCTCTGACATTTAAGGAAAGACTTATCAATCCTGATTTTATTTTTTTTATCTGACCTCAAACGATCATAGCGATAATTAAAAAGACCGTGCTTTATAATCATATTGTTAGAGGTAACAATTTGCATTTTCATTTAGCTAGTAAATTTTATCAGTGATACTGTGTAACGTCTACAGCAGTCTGCACGCCTGTCAGTTTTCCTATCCTCTGTAAAAAGGATTTTGTGGCCGTGACTATATTTGCTTCATATTGATTTTTATTTCCTATTATTTTAAAGCCGTGGGATGCCTATGTTATGAGAAATTCACAGACTGTACTCATTCACCCACACGAATTTCCCCTTCATTTTTTTTCAAGTAATTCCAGAATGAATTTGCATCGTAATATTATTTTGTTTTAAAATCTGGTTCACCACAGTCCTTGGATTATTTCATTTCATCAACAAATGTTTTTTTTTTCTGGTCTTGCATTGTAATATATCAGTTTTCGCGATATCTCTCTCTCTCGACGTTGTGAAGTAAAAATGCGACAAGAAATATTGTGAACCTTTTTATGCTTGGCTGACTGGTTTAATGACACTTCCATTGTCGTTTTAAGATTGTTATCTCTTGAGTAAAAAAGATAAAAACATAGAAAAAGAAACAGAAACGAGAAAATATTTATCTTATGCTTTGTCAGTCTATGTCACTAGTGTTTTGATGTTTCACTGTTTTCGTTCTTCTTTTTCTTTTCTTTTCATGATTATCAAACAATTATGTGTTTTGTTCGTTTGATTATCAATGTCACTTTAATTGTAAAAAAAATATTCTTGTCATCGCTACGACTCTTGTTATTACCATTATTATTATCATTACTATTGTTTTTTGCATAATCATCATCATCACCAGTATGATCATCAATCTTCTTCCTCTTCTTCTTATCATCATTACCATTATTACCATCATTATCGTTATCATCATTACTATCATTATCATTTCTATTATTATCATTATTGTTATTGGTATTATTATTACTATTATCAGTATTACCATTATTATCACTATCATTGTTATCATCATTATTATCATTTCTATACTATTATTATTGCTATTGCTATTGTTATTATTATTATCATTATTATTATCATTTTTATTATTATTATTATTATAATTATTGTTATTATCATTATTTTTATTATTATTATTATCATCATCATTATTATCATTTCTATTATTGTTATTATTATCATCATGATTATCATTATTATTATTATTATTATTATTATCTTTTTATTTTCTTTATTTTCTATCATAATCATCATCATCATCATTATCATCATCATTATCATAATCATTATCATTATCATTATCATTATCATTGTCATTATTATTATTATTATTATTATTATTATTATTATTATTATTATTATTATTATTATTATTATCATTATCATTATTATTATCATCATTATCAATCATCACCTTTATCATCATTATTATCATTATCATTATTATAGATATAGAAAATAATAATAATAATAATAATAATAATAATAATAATAATAATAATAATAATAATAATAATAATAATAATAATAATAATAATTATAATAATAATAATAATAATAATAATTATTATTATTATTATTGTTATTATTATTATTATTATTATTATTATTATTGTTATTATTATTATTATTATTATTATTATTATTATTATTATTATTATTATCATTATCATTATAACAAGAGCAACAACAAAACAGAACAACAACAACGATAGTAATGATAATGATAATAATACTTATAATAATGATGATATTGATTTTTATTGTCATTACCATTACTATTATTATCATCATTATTATTATCATCATTATTGCTGCTACTACTACTATTATCATCATCATTACTATTGATATCTTTCTCTTTGTTATTATCATTATCATCATAATTATCAATATCACTTTTATTTTCAATAACATCATTATCATATTTTTTATCATTATCAGCATCAGTTATCACTATCATTATCATTACCATTATCCTTATCCTTATCCTTATCCTTATCATTATCATTATCATCATCATCATCATCATCATTATTATTATTAGTATTAGTATTAGTATTATTATCATTATCATTATTATTATCATTATCATCACTACTACTACTTCTGCTATTATCATTATTATTATCGGGATTATGATCATCAATATTATTGTAATTATTAATATAATTATTACTATCATCACCAATATCTTTGTAATTATCTCTATTCCTAATATTGTCATGATCATCATATATATTATCACTGTCATATTGTTAATATCATCATCATCAACGTCATCATTATCATTATTACTGTCTATTATCATTATCGTTATTATTATTTTCACTAGTATCATTATCCTAATTCCCCTTTTCATCATATCTTTATCATTATCAGAGTTATTACTGTATTCTTTTTATCATGAGTATCCTTGTCATTATCCTTCCAAATACTAGTTGCCCCCCCCCCCCCCCCCATCCCTGGCGGCGGCGCGGGCACTTACCCTCGATGGTGAGCGTGTTGTCCTGGAGCAGCTTGCGTCGCGCCGTGGCGGTGACCAGGCGGCCGCGGTGCCTCCAGGTGACGGTGGGCGGCGGCGACCCCCACACACGGCAGGTGAGGGCGGCGTGGCCCCCCTCTGGAAGCGTCTGGTTGGCGGGCGGCACGGAGATGATGGGCGGTGGTAGCAGGTGGGCAGGGCGCACCCGCACGGCCACGCGGGTCATGACGCCGCCCGCAGAGTTGACGCCGCCGCAGATGTAGCGACCTGAGTGGTGGTGGGCGGCGCGGGGCACATGGTACGCCATGCGCACCGCCTCCAGGTGGGCGTCCTCCTCCTCATCGGCATTGGCCAGGCCCGCCAGGCTTCCCTCGAGGGGCGCGCGGGCGGCCGGCAGCACCGTCTGCGAGCCCTCGCGCGTCCAGTACACGAGCGGCGCCGGGAAGCCCTGCACGGCGCACGACAGGGTCAGCGGCGCGCCCTCCTCCACCTCCTGGTCGCCAGGCACCTCCGCTACGCGGGGGGAAGCTGAGGGAAGGGCGGGGTTAGCTTTGGGGAGAAAGAGGGGGCGCTGGCCGAGAGCCCTGGCAAGAGTCCTGGCCGAAATCTCTGGCCAAAGAGCTATAGCTGAGAGCCCTGGCCAAGAGTCCTGGCCGAGAGTCCAGGTCAAGAATCTGACGAAGAGCCCTGGCCAAGAGTCCTGGCCGAGGGCTCTGCCAGAGAGCCAGCAAAGCAATCTACAAATTGGAAACAGGAATCTGTATCGTATATGTGCGTGGTTGACTGCCAATGCCGCGCCGCGGAGGCAATGCGATGGCGCTCAATGCTGTTCCACCCTTTTGGTCAGCTCTGAAACGGGCCGCATGGGATGAATCTCTTTTTAACACGATTATGGAAAATTCATTAAGTTCTAAAATCGTTTATGAATTTTGTAATCACATACAAATCAGGTTCTTTATGAGTCTAGTACATCAAATCCCCAATGCACTTAATGTAATCTATAAATGTTTAATACCACTATTCACAATAAACCCACTCTGCCCACTTTACACGTTCTGTTCAATCCACGTAAATTAGAAACCACTCTGTCTTCCCACTCGTTATATTCTTCCCACTCCACGCACTTTACGCATTTCACTCAATCAACTCAATTCAGTTTATAAAGAATAAATCACTCATTCGACTGATAGAAGCTACGCCTCGCAATTTCCGCACTCGCAAATTAATCCTCAGTGCGCAGTTTGTTGGACATTTTGAAAACATGTTGGCAGTTAGCAATAAACCCTAAAATAAAAATTGAAGTCAAGAGTGTCTTGTTTTAAGTCTATACTTTACTTTACTCTATTGCCTTTAAGTCTTAAGAGGGATAAATCCAAGTGTTTCTATATTTCCTGTAACTTACTTCTTGTACCTAGCGTTTAATAAATAACATTAATGAGAAGTTGGGAATGATAATGAGAAAAAGAAGAAATAAAATGAAATCTAAATAAATCCTTTGTGTGTCTTCGATCCCTTTCAGAAATTATACGCCCAGACATGTTCATTCATGTTTGCGTTTCGTGAATAATTGAAAAATGGTTCAATTTTTTTTTTCTTGTTGTTTGAATATTAACTTGTTTTTACTTCTAACTTGCTAGAAACAAAATGATTGCTTGTACTTATAAGAATGCATTCAACCTGTGCTTTTTGAAAACCATATGCACTTTCGCTGTGTGGATTTACAAATAATCCTTAGAAACTGTAATACCTAACTGGCAACTAGACATTAGTGTTTTGTCTTCTCAACAGATGGCAGTGAAGGCATTTAAGGGAGCCTTCTTCTGTAGTATGAATCTGAACTTTATATTGTGCAAATGTCGATATTTGTGAGTTGAAGTGAAATACACAGTTCTTTGTTCACGTATCACTGAAAATAAGTAAATTAATAAATAGACAGATATATAAATGATTGATTGAATGAATTGATAAATAGGCAAATAGATAGTTAAACAAGTAAGTAGAAAAGTAAGTAGGCAAATGTAGGTAAATAATTTGGAAAAGGATAAACATATAAAAAACAATGATGGCAATAATCAGTACTATTTCACATGTATCGATCGAATTGAAATAGTCCATTTATCTTCTATTTGCTGAGCGATAAAGGAGCAGTTTAGGTCAACGTATCCATTCTAATCAAACCCAACTATTGCCATACGCTTACTTAACTGCTATCAAACACGAAACAAAAAAATGAAAATATAATAGAAATTTGAAGCTTACATGAACGAAATAATGCATGCACATACACATACACATACTGCACACACAACAACACGTATATTCTCCTTTCAGTCTTACACACCGCTTTCGTTTTTTCTTTCTTTCTGGCTATCCTAGACAATTATTTCCTTTCCATCTTTCTGCCTGTCCCTCTATTCCTGCCCTAGCACTATCAGCACCCACATCACCATCCTCATCACTATCAGCAGTTTATTCTCCAATCTCCCTTTTTCAGAGCTTTCGAGCTCATATTTCCGCCTTGCATAACGGTGTATTCCACTGCCATTTTCACGTTTTCAGCGCCCGTAATTATAGAACAGTTTGGCTGGTCGAGGAGATGGCACGGGAAGTCTCAAACTACTCTGTGTGTGTGTTTTTATTCTTAAGTATTTTCTTCTCCTTCTCCTTATCATTATTGTCTTTGTTTAATGTTGTTATTCTTGTTTTTCTTATGCTTTGGCCATCATCATCATTATGCTCTTCTTCTACTTCTCGCCTTCTCCTTCTCCTTCTCTCTCCCTCCTCCTCCTCTTCCTACCCCTCCTCCTCCTCCTCCTCCTCCTCCTCCTGCTCCTGCTCCTGCTCCTGCTCCTGCTCCTCCTCCTCCTCCTGCTCCTACTCCTACTCCAATCCTACTCTTACTCTTACTCTTACTCTTACTCTTACTCTTCCTCTTCCTCCTCCTCCTCCTCCTCCTCCTCCTCCTCCTCCTCCTCCTCCTCCTCCTCCTCCTCCCCCCCCCTCCTCTCACACACAACGGCCGAGGGAAGGAAGGAGGAAGCAACATCTGATTGAGAGATTGTAAAGAGAAAGCCAAGAAATCCAGCTATTTAATGGTACGTGGCAACTCCTCACACGCACGTACCCCCCCCCCCCCCCCATGACAATTCAATAACAACACTCAAACACGCGCTATATCTGTCGCTCAGCCAACAAACCATTACTTTAAAGACCTGTAATTTACTTCTAACAAACGAAAGAATAAAAAAAAAACGAAAAAAATAGATACAGCAGGTATTAATATTCGATACAACCGACATTTTGAATTATAAAGAGTGGTTTTGTTTTTTTTAGAGGGATTTTGATTTTTTTCCTCTCGTTTATATATTGATTTTGTTTCTATAGATTGTAAAATGCTACGATCTGTCGTGTTGTAGAAAAGTGTATTGCTTTACAGCTTTGTAAAGGTTTTATTATTCATATTAAAGTTCATTTTCAGATATTTTTTTGTGCGTGTCCGTGAGAATGTGTGTGTGTGTGTCTGTGTATACGTGTGTGTGTGTTTGTGTCCGAGTTTCTTTTTACGTTACTGTATGTATGTGTACACATTTTATTAACCCACTCAAATGTATATATACAATGCTATACATTTACGCCAATGTACATTCACACCCCCCTCCCCCCCTCCCCTCCCTCCCCTCATCCTCCCTTTGCCACCAAGCCAGAGACGCAACAGACACAAGCGTTTAAGACTCGAGTAATCAATAATAACCTTTGTTGTAGCCCGGAATAAGGGTGGATATCGAGACAGCCACGCCCTAATGAGCGGCGTGGGGGGAGGATGAGAAGAGAATTAACGTTTTGAGGACAAGTGGAGGACGGGATTGCGCTCAGGGGGGGGAGGGCGAAGGATAAAGGGAGGGCGAAGGAGGGAGGGAGAGGAGAAAGGAGAGGAGAGGGAAAAATGGGAAGAGGAGAAAAAGAGATGGAGGAGATTGCGCTCAGGGGGTGGAGGGCGAAGGAGAGAGGGAGAGGAGAAAGAAGAGGAGAGGGGAAAATGGGAAGAGGAGAAAGAGAAATGGAGGCGAATGCGTCCAGGGAGTGAAGGATAAAGGGAGGGCAAAGGAGAGAGGAGAAAGGTGGAAGAGAAGGAAAAATGAAGAGGAGGAGGGAGGGACAAGGAGGAGACTGTGTCCAGGAAAAGAAGGATAAATGAAAAGGGATAAGAGAAGGTAGAGGAAGGATAGGACAGGAGTTAGAAGGAGGAAGAGGAGAAGGAGACAGAGAGAAGGAGGCTGCATCAGTGAGTGAGGGATAAAGGGTAAAGAAAGAGAAGATATTCCGCTGAGGGATTGAAGAATAAGGGGAAAAGGTGGACAATGGAAGGAAGGATAGGAGAAAGAAGGAAGAAAAAGAGGAGACGAAAATAAAGAAGGGATGAACAGTGTGAATAAAGGATTCGGATGAAGATAATCCGAAGGAAAGGAAAAGAGAGGGAAGAGGAAGAAAAGCAAAAAGGAGAGGAATAGAGAGAAATATATAGAATGAATGAATGAAAGAATATAGAAGGGAACTAACGGAAAGAAACACATGTAAGGTAAAGTGAAAAGAATAAAAGAAGAGAAAGAGAATAACATGAAGTGATAGACAAAATCTGAAATATGGTTTCGGAATAGTTCATAATAAAAAATAAATAGGAAGAGGTTAAAAAAAAAGGATAATGACAAATGAAAACCAGTGACAAAGAAGA